TATATTATAATATCTTGGTTAATTATGCAATTCCCACAGTTAAGTCTCATGCGAAAAAAATCAAAAAAAAATTTTATTTTCAAGAAGATAATGCACCTGTTCACACTACAAAAGTTGCACATTTTCTTATCAAATTCTCGAATGTTGAATTGCTTTCCTGACTGGCGTAAAGCTCAGATATTAATCCTATAGAAAACATTTAGTCATATATTGAAGTTAGAATTCATAAGCATGATTTCTAACCATCAAGTGTTATGCAATTGGAGCAGTGGGTTAAGGAGGAATAGGATGTGATACCCATAAATTATTATTAAAATTTGATTAAGACAATGTCACGTCAGGTTCAGGCTGTTCTTACTGCAAATGGAGGTCCAACGAAATATTAACCTGTAGTTCAATAAAATAAAAAAAAATAAAGTTAATATGTTAATTTTCTTGTAATAAAATTTTCAAAACTGACCAATACTTTTTATACCCCCTTGTATTTCTAATTTCTTTACCAAATCTCTTTTATTAGTGTTCATATCCTTTACAATTCTATGAGTTTCTAGTTGTTCTTTCACATGATTTTTTTTTAGTTTTTTTACCTAAATTCCTATATTTTATATTGAATCAGTTGCTTGTTTATCTGAAGATTATCACAGGCTAAAGTAGGCTCACAAAACCTGTATAATTAATATCTTTTAGGATTTTTGCGATTATTGAAATAGAGTAAAAAGAGGTGAAAAGTGAACCTATACTATGAAAAGATTATACAACCTCTTCAGGACTCAATTCTGGGATAGGTCAGGTAATAATTAAAAAAGTTTAAATGATTTTTTAGATTTATATTAAATATATTTACTTTTTTAGAATTGAGATATACTTGTAGGAGAAATCGTAATTTGCTTACTACAAGACAAATATAAAATACAAGGTAAAACTGTGATGAGCTTGTAAGACAAACTGAAATAGACGGCAAAATCGCGATGTATCTGTAAGGCCTGCAAAGCAATAAAAATTTCAGTATTTTTTTCTTATTATTTGTTTAATTTTGTTTTTTCGTATTATTTGTTTTTTCTTTTCGTATTGTACATTTAATTTATTTTTCTTTTTTATTTTTTATTTTTTTTTTATTTTCTTATTTCATTTTATTTTTTTAATTTCATTTTTTATTTTATTTCATTTTCCTAATTTCGTTTTATAGTTTTTTTTCATTTTTTATTTTATTTCATTTTTCCTAATTTTATTTTATAGTTTCTTTTCATTTATTTAATTTCATTTTTTCATTTTGTCTCATTCACTTAATTTTATTTTATAGTTTTGTTTCAATTTCTTAATTTCATTTTTCATTTTGTTTAATTTTCTTTTTGTTTTGTTTTTATTTTTTATTTTTTCTTTTATTTTATTTTATTTTATTTATTATTTTAATTTTATTTTATTTTAAAAAAAATAAATTTTTTTTTTTTAAAAAAAAATTAAGTAAATTAATAAAACTGTCATACAATGATTAACAGTTGTATGTTAAAATAAAATGACTAGAATTTACAAAATAATGTGAAAATATTTCTGGAAAAATTATATCATAGTAAAATTATATTTGTGTAATTAAATCAGTAATCATCTACTATAATAAAGATTCTTATAACGAAGTTCTGATTAGCTAGATTAGTAACTTCATTATACTGAGGCATAACTATATATATAATATTACAATAACTTTTATTTTTAATTATATAAAAATAATTTAAGATTACTTATAAAGCTAAAATTTGTAAATTTTAAAAATTTAATCATTGACTTTTGATAATCTTATTAATATTTACTTTTAATAATATTAATTATAATAGAATATTATAAAATTTATTATAAAGAATAATTTTACTATATTATTTTAAAAATAAGCATTCTATGATATGCTCTTTTATGGTAATTTTTTATTTATCATATATATTTTATTATATTACTTATCATATTTATAATAATAAATATTTATTTATCACTAGTTATTTATTTTTAATATAATATGATAATTTTTATAATTTACTAATAAATTTTATGACTTTTTTTATTAATAACTTAGTAATTCAATTAGTTCATAAATATAATTTTAAGAAAATTTTTAAAATATTATTATAATAAATATTTAAAAATTTAATTTTAAAATTAGATTATTTAAAAAAACTTCTTATAAATTTAAATTTTTCTAAGAAAGTTAAAAAATATATAGGAGAAAAATAGAAGCTTTAAGATTTTTTTACCAAAATTGAAAATTTTGCTTTATATTAATTTATAATATAATAATTTTAAATTAGTTAAATTTTTAAAGTACTTTAACTTAATATTAAAATAAATAATTAGCAAATTGAATTTTTTATATAATAAGTCTAAAAAAAAAAATTTGAAAATGATGAATATGATTAATATATTATTTAAAAAATGATCAATATAATTTAATATTTTATATTATTTTATATTATATATAATAAAATTTTAAAATAAAATAACTTGTTATTTAATAATTATAAAAAACTAAAATTTAAATCCTCTCATTAAAATAAATTAAATAGTAAAATAATTATATTTTAAATAATATATTATAATTAATTTTAAATATAATATTTATTATTTTTTAATATTAAAATATTTATTAAAATAAAAAATAAATTTTTTTTTGATATAGTACAATGATTTTCTTAAAAATATTTACTTCTTAACTAATTATTTTGTTATATAATATAAATCATTTGATTTAAAAAATTATAACATAAATTATTCAAAATTAAAGCTCAAATTTTGTTTATAATATTATACAAAAATAGAAATTAATCTCAAAACTCCTTTTTTTTTTTAGCAAATCTCTTATATTAACTATATTTTTTATATAATAATTATATTATTAATTTAATATTTTATATTTTATTAAAAATTAATACTTTTTTTTATGTTTATATACAAATTTATCTGCTTTACAATTTAAGAGATAATATATATACTTTGATGTGAATTGATAAATTATTAATTAAATTGTATTTTGATAGATTTAATTATTTTATAATAAATATTAAATTGAAGTAATTAATTTTGATATTTTTAAAATTAATTAACGCTAAAGTATAATAGAATATATTTTATCAAATAAAAAGGTTTATATATTGAATTATACTAAATAAATACTATATAATATTTACAAATTAAAGTATATAATATATAAATAATCTCTTTTATAATGAATTTATTTATAACAAATTTTTTTTGATACAATTAAAATTTTTTCAAAAATATGAAAATTAAGAATAAATTATTTAACATAAAAGATAAATTAATATTTATCTTATCTTAAATATAATAAATATATTGTATAATATATTCTTTAATATTAAATAAATTAATAAAAATGAATTTTTATATTTTATATTTATATTTTATATTCTATTTTATTTTTTTTATTATATATTTATTTTAAAAAATACTAAATATTTTATTTTACTTTTTTCATTATATAATTTTTTTAAATGCTAAAAATAAAGTCAATTTCAATTTTACCTAAAGTTTCTAAAAAATGTAAATCCCTTATTATAACTTAAAAAAAATTGTTTAAAAAATTAGCTTTATTTTTTAAAGAATAAAAACTTAACTAATAAATATGATGTTATTAAAGAAAATTATTTTTGATATTTTAAAAGCAAAAGACTATAGGTTTATTGTAGATTTTAATTTATTGAAAAAGTATTAATCATTTAAATAGAAAAATGGTTTTCAAGTTAATTTCATTATAACTGATAATATTCTTTTAATTAAAGTCTTAGAATTTGCTATTTTTAATGAAAATAAGTTTAAAGATTCTAATAGAAATAGTATAACTTAAGATAATATAAAATATATAGGAAATATCATTTGAAGATCTTAATATAATATAAAAAATCTTTGTCAAATATTAAAGATTAAATTTTAAAGATATTTTTAATTATAATGAAAATAAGAAAATGAAACCTTCAATACATTTTTTTTATTAATAAATTTGATTTATCAAATAGATTTTTATATTATATATAGTATAGGTATTTTAGATAATTATATTTAAATTATATAATAATTTAAATTTGATATTAATTCTTTTAAAAGTATAATTTTAGCATTATTTATATTTTTGAACTTAAATTGATTAATCTTTTATTTTATTTTCTATATTCAAATTTTATGAGATATTAAATGTTTTTTTTGATCAAATTCTTATAATACTTTTCAAAAAGATTAATTAAAAAATATGATTTCTTTTTAAATAAAGCTATTTTATCTTTATAAATAATAATTGATTGTATTATTTTACTGAAAAATAGTTTTATAATAAGTATCTTTTGCTTAATAAAAAGTATTAAATTTTTTATCACTATAATTATTTACAAATATTGTATTAGTTAATTTTTTATACAATTTCTTATTTGTATTTAAAAGATTTATATTAGATTTATGATTTTTATATTTTAAAGATTTATATAAAATCTAAAATTAATGTATTTATTGATTTATAAAAAAAATATCAAAGAAAAATATTATCTAAAACTTTAAATATGATTTTATATTAACAAAATTTAAGATTAGCTTTAAAGATAATATATGTATCAGAATTATAAGATAAAAGTATATTTCACAAGTAAGTTTTAGTTCTATTTTTTTATAACTTATAATAAGATGAGTAGAGTCATGTATCTTTTTTGTTAATATTATAAATGTAATAGGATTTAAAATATCTATTTCAATAAATACTATTAATAAAAAAGATCTTATTAATCATATTAATCATTGATAAGATATCTAATCGATCAGCCAATTTAAATCCAAATCGGGATAAACTCATTTAAAATACTAGCATCTGGACAATCAATTAGCGTTTTAATTGTTCTTTTAGAAAAAAAATTTTTTTATTAAACTGACAAGAGTGCAAAAAAAAAAAAACCTGAGCTCTTTGAACAGTATATTAGAAAGAAATACACTAGAAAATTAGTATCCAAATTGTTGCTATGTGTCCTAGTTCAGTTTTTCGGAATTTAGCCAACCTTGGCTATTATAAGAAGCAGCCTATTGTAATCCCAATACTTACAAGGTTGCATAAGCATATATGTATAGTAACTCTGTGGAATATTGGTATAAGGGTCAACGGCCAGTTCGTCACATTCCAAGGGACCGGACAAGAATCAACGCCTGAGGGTGGAGTTTGTAATCGGGGCAAAACCATTCTTTACTGCTTCCGAGAGAATATGACTAGGCAATTCTACAGTGAAATTTTAAAGCATCTTCTTGAGATCAAGAGGATGCTACGTAACAATTGCCGCCTCCATCAAGACAACGATCCTAAGCATACGAGCCGTGTAGCTAAGAAAATTCCTGCTGCTGATTCAGATGAGGAGGTATGATAAAAGTTCTCCTTTTCGATTTCATATTTAAAACATTTATTTATTTTAATAAACCATCTTTTACAGTATTTGGTAAAGTTGTCATGGGAGTATTGTTGGGACTTAATGTGGGGACACTCTCAAAATGCGTACTGAGTGGAGGTGTTATCGTACCACTAAATATTAGTCTTGATGGAATAATACAGACCAATTTGTTAACATATAAAAATGGGATGGGGGTGGGCGCTATTACTATTAGAGGTGAAGGAGATTGGAGGGTTGCTAAATGGATCTTTTAATTACCGTATTCCTCCGAAAATAAGCAACAACTTTTTTTTGCACATAATTCCGGCTAAGATTTAGTAATGCAGGCCAAAAATCGGTATAATGCGGCCATGTTGCTTATTTTCGGAGGAATATGGTGATTTGAAATAGATTATTTACTTTTATAAAACATTTAGAATTGTAAATTTAACACTTTTGATTATTCATCTTTCAACTTTTAATCTTAAATAAATGTAATGTAAATTATTCTGATATTTTAATTATTAAAAGGACATGGTGTCATTTGTTATTACTATAGAAATTTGAATTCAGAGTCGTTGTTACAGGAATATCACGAATTCGTTAAATCAAAAGAAAAGGACAGCCTATACTAATTTAAACATTAAAAAGGAAAAAATGAGATTATTTTCTAGATTTTTAAGTTCCAAATTTATGCTAAATTGCTCGTTCATGTTACTACGCCACATTGTTTAAACATCAATAGGAATTCATTATTCTAACTTATGGTATCACGTGACATCAAAGACTGACATTTTTATCGACTCGTTCGATTTTCCCATATTATCGCTTCAGTTACAAAATATGTCAAGATCTTTGATTTTTGACTCAACCGATTTAGATTTTATGTACAATTCGCCATTAAGTAATTTGAATATCTGCTGTTAAACATGTTTAACGGCCCATGGTCATTGAATATAAATACATCAAAGTTCTTCCTTTTGATCTTAAAACAGACGCATTTAGTATCATAATCGTTGAATATAATAAGAGGCGAGAATTCATGTATAAGAACGTGTCATTCCGGAATATCAGGTTGCAAGTTTCCAACGACACTTTTAAATTAATAAAAAATGGGTCATATACGCAATGATGACAAGATCTATTCCCCACTTGAACTATTGGCCAGCAAGATACCTTATTTTTGCAAAATCAGTTATGATCTACCCGCTAGCAAGCGATGCCATTTTTACAGGAATCTTGTTGAAACCTTGTTACACAATTATCATATGTTACAGCCGGAAAAACTCCAAAACATTTCATTTTTTTGAAACTTGATTTATGTTCATCAATTGAAATTTTTGTTTTTGTTTTTCGTTCCTAAATAAAAAAAAGAAAGAAAGAAAAATATAAATAAGTTACACGTTCTTATATTGATGTCTACTGCGCTTGAATAGAAATCTTGCAAAAAATATCTTTGTTCCTTAATATTAGGCAAATAATATTAACTGCTACAAACCATCCATTTTCTCTTTAAAAATAAGCCTCTTCGGAACTACATATCCATATTCCAGAATCAATATTTCACAACATCAATGGACTTTAACTTGTATTTAAATCTTTTTGAACAAAAAAAAAGCAGAAAACATATGATTGCAAATTATGAAAAATGGTTGAAGGATTTAGAACGAATGCCTAACAAAAAGATGCATCACCTTATCGCTACCAACAATTTCGGTTATAGGCGAATTTTTCAAAATATCATCAACCTTGAATTAAAAGATAGAATATCCATAGCAAACTTAAAATTAGATAAAGTACACGTCGGAAAGTTTTTGTTGTGTCGAGTGATAAACAGGTGTGCCAAGACGACCCCCCTCTTTACCCTCATAGAAGATCCTGAGGGCGGGGTTGAACGAATTGCTTTATATAATTGGGTCGAACAAACCGCTCTTCCCGCCAAAGATCGGGAAAAAGTATTTACCATTAAGCAGGCATCAAAGCTTCTACCTATAGGCACTAAACTTGCAATCAAAAATCCCTACTATCAAGTTGCCTCTAGTTTTGACACCTTAATTCATACAGATGGTCCCAGTATTACCACCGATTTTGACTCAATTATTCGTTCAGATAACCCCAAAGACGTCATTGTAATCAATCAAGATAATGAGCTGTTTAATAAAATAAAGTGGTCCAAGGATCTGGGAAAAAGAAAGAATGACAATGGTAAAAATGAGTTATCAGTTGATGACGAGAAGAAGCTTGGGACCGCTGATGACTTCCGTCAGAGCGGGAATCAATATTTTATTTCAAATGATTTTGCCGCAGCCGTTGACGAATATTCGAGTGGTATCGAACTAGAGCCACATAACGTCACTTTGCTTGCCAACCGCGCGGAGGCATATTTGAGGTTGGGTCGATTTGAAAAAGCTCTCACAGATTTAGAAATCACCCTCAATCGTGAACCCGATCATTTGAAAGCAGCTGTTCGCAAAGGCAAAGCTCTGATTGGTCTTAAACGTTATCAAGAAGCCATAATCACACTTAAAGATGTGAATCTAATGATGCAAACAAGCACCAATAATGATGAGATTTTAATTACTTCCATTAAGCAAAGCGTTAAAGAATTGTTAAAACGTGCGGAAATGTTTGATTCTGAAAACCGGTATGGACGATATGATTACAAAAGTATCATTGATGAGTTTTGCGAAAAGGTTGCAATTAAAAGCAATAATCAAGACAATGATGATTGGGTTTGTGGAACAGGGCCAAGATTAGACCATGCCGAATATTTGATTGATGATATCGAGATTCGTCCCGTGGAAAATAAAGGAAGAGGATGGATTGCCAAGCGGGACATTCCTGAAGATACCCTTTTAATGGTTTCCAAGGCATTCAAAGTTGTGTATGGTAATGAAGCTCCTTTAAGTTTTAGAAGTATTGATTTTACACCTGGAACCGAATCCATGAATACTGCAACGCATTCAGAATTAGCGAGCCGCATTGCCCAGGAACTCATAGCAGAACCGGAACTTTTCCGGGAAGTGTATCAGCTTTATGCTGGTCCGGATATGGTTCCCATGGAAAATCTCGACCAAGACTCGTTAAATTCGGTGGATACTAGAAGAATTGAAAAAATTATTAAATACAACTTTTTCGAACCAATGGATGAATGGAATGTTTTATGTCGTGCAGGAGAAGATAGTCGATTAACCAAAGATTTCGGAGCGGGATTATGGATCTTGCCATCTTATTTCAACCACTCATGTGTTGATAACAATATTCAAAAGCTAATTATTGGAGACATGATGTTTTTAAGATCTTTACGACCCATTTTGAAAGACGAGGAGTTAATTTTAGAGTATTGCTCACCATCGAGAACATATGAAAAGCGATCTTCAAAACTTAAGTCATATGGTGTAAATTGTCAATGTCGACTTTGCGAATTGGATAGATCTGAATCAAAACAAGTTAAACTTCGACGGAACGAAATCTCCGTTATTTATGAAAATTATCTCGGTCCTCAGGTGAAATCAACGCTCCTTAGCCATTATTTTGATCCTTCTCTCGTCAATGAATTAACAAATTTGATCGCTGAATCACACGAGCTACGAAAAGATCATCCAGACCTAGATTTTCTTGCATATGAAATGAAGAATGATTTGGCAATGGCATACGTGAAAGTCGGTAAACTCCGACAGTCTCTTCCTGTCACGAAGGAAATATACGATTTTTTGAAAACCATACAAATGTTCAGCTTAACTTGCGATGCCGCCTATCAAGTTTCATCTCGCTACGCTAGACTCGAACAAATGAAAGAAGGTAAGAAATGGTTTGATGTGGCACTGAAAGAGTTGGCAGAACCTATAAGAGGAAAATACAATAAAGAAGAAATCCATTGGAGGAAAGAGGCGTTGTATTTTGCGAAAAAGCTAACACCGAAAATGATCGTGGGCGCAAGGAATAAAGGACTTGTATCATGATCGCCATCGTAAATAATTCAATCGTAATCGAGTAATTTTGTCTATTAGCGAATATTAATCATTTGAATTTAATTTTTAAATTTGTAATATATATAAAATTGTCCCTGATATAAAGGGAGGCATAAAGTAGTTAATTTTATAATAACGAGAAATAAATTGTTTAACGAATTAGTTATATCGTGTACAATAAATGAACTCTTTGGCTATGAATACTTATAGTTTACAAACGAGATGAAAAATTTTTTACAATGACATATATTCCTCAATTGTAAAAACGCCAACGTAGTAAATAATAATGAAGGTAAATTAATGGAATGGCATTATATGCTTATGCTTAATAAATAAATAATAAATAAAAAAAAAATATATATATATTTTTATTGTTAAAAACGGATTTTAAGATCTTAACTCACCATCTAATTGCTATGCATAACTTAGTTACTATTATTCATTTTAATTTGAGTGTGTTTATAAAACGCAGTACTCATCAAGATGGAATGACATTGCAAGTGTTGATTTCTTTGTCTTTATGAATGCGAGAAATTATTAAACTTCTCGACGAAGAACACTCTTTTATTTTTATTTTTTTTATAAATAACTTGTTACATCCATTGTTAAGATAGGCATCTTTGTAACTCTAAAAATTCTTTAATTTTAGTGAAACTGAACTAACTGTAAAAAATCGGAAGTTGAACTTCTATAAATGCACCCACTTGAGATCATACGCAAATCGAGGGTGAATACATTATTAAAGATTGCATCTGTGGATGAATATATCAAGAATATATTATTAATGGATTCTATAGCCATTAATTTCGACGGAAGACTTTTAATTTTATTATGGTTATCGAGTTTCGACGGTTTTGGCAATGACAGTGACCCTTTCGAAACCCAAGAGTTTAATGCATTTGTCAAAGTTTTTAAGACAGGATCCGATCCACTTTCGATTTATTTTTGTATTGAGTGTAGTTTCCTCATAGGAGAAAATCTATATATTAGAAAGAACTGAAAAATGATTATATATTTTTATTGCTGCATTTAATCGATTACAAAGACGAAAAACATGAAATCATTTCAACACTGAGATTTTGAAAACTTGAAATATCTGGCAAATATTTGATTTTGAAATTACACTTTTTGCTTTATAAACTATTTGAATACTTTGCGAACATCTGGAGAAAGCATTTGACTGAGTCGTTTCCGCTATTTTAAATGGCTGAATCAAATTAATATTGGAACAACATAAATCAAATTTAGTATTCTCCAGTACAACTTTTAACATTGGGTGTAGATTCAGTCGAATTTTAAATCCCGACTGCAAAATTTTATTAAGTTTAAAATTTTCAATTAAAATTTGTTTTTTAAAAAAATTATAATCGCGACGTAGAAGGATAGAATTAAGATAATCATTACCAAATTTTACTTTGAAATGAATAAGGAAAATTTCTTTTGCCAAGGAAAAAAGAACAGAATAAAGAAGACATTTTACTGTATTTCTTTTCTTAATTGATTTTTCTTCTTTCACACATGTGAAATCAGCGTAGTTATGATCATCTGAATAATATTAATATCAAGATTTGTGAAGTTTCGTCCTGCTATTTTAGAATTGTCAATCTTGTAGATGATCCATTTCAAGAAACTGATTCGTAAATTCACAAAGATATTTTGTTCTCAAAACCTTTAGCGAGCCGAAAAAAATAAAAAAATTTGGCATTTGTAAAAAAAAAAAATGCTGTTTTTGGACTTATATCATAGATTGATAGATCTTGAGATTCACCACTCATTTTTAATTTTTTATTTTTTTATAGATGTAAAAAGTTATTACATGGTTTCATTCGGTATAGAGAAGGAAAATGATTGTTACTCAGATTTCCAAAGAAAGTTTGTTATTTATTTATTTATGACGCAACAAATTATTGTTCAAAGATGATCGTGAAAATGATTGGTTTAGGAAGATGTTTTACAAGGATTGCATACTTTTTAATAATGAGTACATGTTTATTTGGAATTAGCAATCGTAACTTAGGGCCACGGACCGCAAAAATGATTTTATTGACCGTGACTGCGGATCGGATCATGTTTATCATTGGTTAATTTCGGTAATTCAATGAAGCATAAATAAAGCAATTGATTCAATGAACCATGCAACTTTTCACAAATAAGGATTTCAAAAAAGAAAATATAAATACAAATTCGAATCAGAATAAAGTAAAAAAAATAAATATATATATATATATACTCTTCTTTTTTGTGGTCTATTTTTTTTTTTTTCGTTTTTTTTTTTTTTTTGGGCGAGAGAAACAAAAAATATATAATCAAAAGATAATTTATAAATAAAACGCCCATAATACGGATCAACGCATGAATTTTTGCAGATAATGTACCCAAGAATTAATCCTACCAATTAAACATTATTACAGAAACAAAGAATCAAGCTTTAAATGAATTAGATCAAAAAAATCAAAAGTACGACAAAAGATTGCCCATCTTGTCTAAAACAAGATTCTAATTAATTAAAAAAAAAAGGGAATCTTAAACTCGAAACAACTTGTTTTGTTCTTGAAACGTAATAAATTCATTCCCTAAACATACAAAAATAATTTTTCTTAGTTACACCTACTTTGGTATATAAAATTTTTTTTTTTTTCGTTTGAAAAAAAAAAAATGTCACAAAGTAATGATATACTAGAAGCCGTTTCACAAGCATCCGAGTGTACGACGAATTATATAGCATATGCTAGAGAATCTACGATCGAACCTGAGGTTACTAAATTATACCTTGACAATTTAAATTCCATTAAAGAGGCGGTTAAACCCTACTTACCCTTATTCACCAACGTTAACTCAATTATACAAGATATTGTCAACGCTTACGAAAATGCGCAAATTAACAAGAAGATATGTCTAACGTTGATTAATCGTGCCGAATCCGTCAGTTTAATCGTCAAACAACTTGAAAGAAGGAAATCCGAGAATTTAGAAAACTTTCGTAACAAAATGTTTTATCAATCATTCCTTCGACTATTTAACATATTGAAACGTATGGATAAATTTATTCAGGATGTCACATTACTATCGAACATTAGAAAATTGACCGAAGTTTATAGTATCAAAAAACAATTTCGTGAGATTATCGAGGATTTTGATAATGTCATAGAAGAATTGGATTGTTTACACGTGATATTCAACACCGACGAACAACGTCAAGATGATTTAAAGGTTTTTAGGTTAGAATTTAATAACGTAATGAAAGTAAGTGAGAAAACGTACCAATTTTTTTTTTTTTTTTTTTTAAAAAAAAAAAAAAAAATTAAAATTAAAATCTCTACCTTCTTTTTATATAAAGTTTTTCGAGACAATCAACAGTGGAGTGGCAACGATAATAACACAAAATAATCATATAAATTATCAAGTAAACACCACAATCTTGGAACTCATACTTTTAAAATGCAAAGTACAAAAACAAAACACGAATTTTGATGACAAATGGAAACCAAAGTTAATAACGAGCGATGAGCTTCAAGACCCTCCCAGTGATGATAATGATAAGCAACCAACGGGAACGGTAAAATATTTAAAGAAAATATTTAGGCGAGAAAAGAAAGTTTCATTAATTCCGGCAGACTCAATACCTTATGTTACGGTTGATTATCAGAAACATGTCATTATTGATTATATTAAGATGAAATTAGGAAATGAGTGCAAGCACATTCATCAATTTTATGGAATGGCGAAATTAAATCAAAATTTTTATGCGGTTTATGAATGGACCGAGTTGGGAAAATTATCAGAGGTTTATGAGAAGTATGAACTTGATTGGTCCACAAAATTGAGGATTGCTTCGGACATATTATCTGGGTTGATTTTTTTGAACTGCTGTGATATCATTCATAAGAGTATTAGATGTGATAATATTTTAATGACTGAAAATATGAAACCAAAGATCACAAACATCAATTTATTTATTAATAAAAATACTTCTAGCAATAATAGCAATGCTTATGCAAATTGGTTAAAAGATGTGTATTACCTAGCTCCTGAAATAATAGACATCCAAAGTTATTCAAGGAGGTATACAACAAAATCTCAAATATTTAGGTAGGTCTATTGTATCTTAACTCCCTGCCTTTTTGTGTTTTTACATTAATTTTTTATCTTTATTCAGTATTGGAATGCTTCTATGGGAACTTGCATTTCAAAGGATACCATACAAAGATTGGCAAATTGCAACGGTGCAAAATCATGTGTTAAGTGGCAAGAGGGAGGAAATTAACCTTGGTGTGGACCAGTCTATCATTCAACAAGGTTTTATAAATCTAATCGAAGCTGGTGAGATATTGAATTGTTTCCTTTAAAAACGAAGAATGTGATCCTTTTTTATTTATTTCAAATTTTTTTTTTTAAATATAAAGCATGGCAGCAAGATCCAGATGATAGACCAGATATCATCACATTCTTTGATATGTTGTATGCTTTATATAGCAATTATTATATGGGAGAAAATAATTCATTACAAAAGAGGCCAAGTTCTATGATTAGTAACAATATCAAGGTTCCCAAGAGAGATGTTTTATGTACAAACTCAAATGTCATTATAAAAACAAACAATAATCAACAGATCAATAATGTCATCTTGAGAAATAACATCCCGCCTCAGGAATTCCATTCCCCAACCGATTCCACGTCTACTTCTTCTTCTTCTTCTTCTTCTTACTTTTCGTTCAATCAAAATTACAATACGGTTGTGCCAATAACTTCATTATCCGATGGGATTAATGCACATAAAAAAGGAGATAAGGAAAAGGCATGGAAATGTTTTGAAGCGAATGCGCAATTAGGCAATATATCGGCGATCTATTGGCAAGGTTATTATTTATGGGAAGGGTATTATACTTCGGCTGATCATGTACGCGCGATCAACTGTTATAAAGAAGCCGCAAAAAATGGTCATGCTGATGCGCAGTTAAGGTACGCCTTTAGTGCTATTAATAGAGAGAAGATGAACCTTAAAGGTTTTTTGAAATTTTTGAAAATGTCTGCAAATGAAGGTAACGCTTTGGCTTTATTTAATTTGGGTGATGTTTATTTGCATGGAAAATTCGGTGTGGTTAAAGATGAGGAACTTGGTATCAAATATTTGAAAGTTGCCGCCGTTTTAAAACAACCCAAAGCTATTGAAATTTTAAAAAGTCTTAATGTTACCGACACTTTTTATTTATAAAATTTTTATCAGAATCGGTTGTAATCATTTAGGGTTTTCTTTTTCTTATTTATTTATTAGATTTTTTCCTTTATTTAATAAAAGAATCTGTCGTTCTTTTTTAGTTTTATCCATATATTTATTTATTTAACTTCTAATTTCTTTATTCCTTTTCCTTTGCTTAATTAATCTTACGATTGTAAAATATTTTCCATTAAAACCTTTTAAGAAATTAAATAAACGAAACGCATTAGTACAGCATGTTACCTTTTCAAAGTTAACATTTCATCTTCAACTCCCTTCTCCAAGCTCTTTCTTTTTTTTTTAAAAAAAAAAAATGTATAATATTTATCAAGGTGCTTGTCCTTTAAGTCGCCATCAGAACGTATCTGGGCCAGTATAAATTTCTGATTAGAGAAAATACTTTCGTAATAATAATTTATGAATGATTATTTAAGGTTAGAAGAATAATTGCATATTATCAATTAAAAAAAAAAAAAAAAAAGAAAAAACCTCGCGTCGAAGGTAATTGAAAAATACACGTCTTCATCTCCACGTGATCTCAATTAATTTGTCATCTTGTCACACCCTCTACTTTGTCGTTTTTTACTATATACCGTATGTGTGAAATCCTATTTGTCACATTATTTGTCACATGATTAATTTCGGCCAAGTTCTATAATGCCGGCCAAAAAATCATTGGTAAAATCACGTGATAACAAGTTAGGAACGCGTAACGTTTCAAATTGTGCTTTTTTTTTTTTTTGTTCCCCCATTAATCTTTTCTATAAAAGTCGATAATTCTTGCATTGAAATGGAGGATACGGTTTCAGAAAAGAATTATTGTAAACCGATATTTACATAAACCCTTTACGTATGGAATTTGACGATAAATTGAATTGAGCCCTTAATTCATCTAGTCTCTTTTTTTTCGGCCTTTCTTTTAGCATATTTAAAATTTTTTTTTTAATGCAACATGATGTGATAGTGCCAAGTATTTGAAGTGCATTTACGTTAGATATGGCTGAAAAAAAAATATGTTGCACGAAATCATATCGATGCAAAGACGGAGCATTTCCTATAACGATGTTTCTAAATTATTTATTGGTATTTTTCAAACTAAACCAAAAATGAATCGTAAAATGAATTTGTATGCATGCAAAGTAATCATTGTACATTCAAATTAAAACATAGAGATAAGCCCTTTCGCGTTTGTGGCTTGCACAGCATTACATATAATGACTTTCAACCATCGACATCACATATACGTACTGTCAACCATGAAAGAAATTGCCGAATGGTACGCCACTGCATTTTAGCTTTTTTTCCTCCGTGCCACATCTTTTTTTTTTCTGTGGTTTTTAAAGCGCCAACAATATTAAATAATCCTCCCACGAATAAGATATTAGCGCCTTTTTACTAATAATAGAAGTTTTTGTAAATTGATAATCTAGACAATAATCATCTTACCTCCATTTTTTTTATTTTAAAAAAATATATGAATTGTGTCATGATTTGCGTAGGTAATAAAATGTTTCGAAATGCAATTGTGCATTTTGAATTATGACAAAACGTGTTGCTAAAATTGGGATTTTCATACTAAAATCTTCGAAATTAAGAAGAAAAATGATTTTTCCCGGCATTTTAGAAATAATCAATAATAATAAAAAAAATTATATCATTCCCAATTCCTTTTAACGTTTATTTGAAATGCAACGTGTCTATTTTTTTATTTTTTTAAAAAAAAACCCCGACTATCGTTGTTAGCGTGTCATTTAATGTCGGATTAACCTTGATTTTAATAAAAAATTACTATTATCGTTAGAACGGATCACTAGAGGGTAAATCCTTACCACTTAACCACAAATTCAAAAAATTGAAATGAAAAGACCCTTATAAACATTTGGAGTTCATTTTTTCACACACTTAACCGGCTAAATTACTTGTAGCTTAGGATTTCTATTGTTGTTTCCGGTTGATTGACTCGTTGGTATATTGTTCTTACTTACGATCCAACCATGAATAATGTCGATTAACATACATGGAAGTGAAGAAATGGTTTGATTTTGGTATACGATAACAATAAAAACAATGCATTTTTATTATCGAACTAAAGGACACGCGAGGTGCGATTTCGAACTAAATTTTTCAGTTTTTTTTTTTAAAAAAAAAAAAAGAAAAGAAAAGAAAAGCTTCGAATTTCTTGAATTCTTGTAAAAAAAAAAAAGGAGAGAGAAAAAAACGAAAAAAACGAAGCGTAGAAAATTTCCAACCCCTTATCAATTTAATGACTTAATAATTCTTCCAATTCTATCAGTTACACATTTCTTTAATAGTAGTTGTATAATTTATTATTATTGATCCCCAAACGAAAATTTCCATATAAAGTATGAAAAAAGAAAACAATGATTTCAAAGCACATAAAACGAACCATGGAAGAATCCGAAGTCTTGGTGATACCCCAATAAGGATTCAAGGATCAATGGATTGTGACTCCTTTGTTTTCGATTCCCAAATTTTAAATTTTTTTTTTTTTTTTTTTTTTTTTGTATGCCACAATATATATGTCATAGTTACGACAAGATAGAGATAACCAAACTTAATTCAGATATTCAGATAAACAGTCAAAAATTCTAACGACGGTTTTATTTTTATTTTTTTTCTATTAATTTTTTTTTTTTTTTTTTCCTGTTTCTTTGCCTTTCGTTTCCTGTTTATTTATTATTTTGTTCACACGAGATAATTATTTTAGAGTGATAAATAAAAGTATAGATATTATGTCAAATAGAATATTAATAAAAAAGAGTAAGGTTACGTTGAGTCAGCCTCCACTTGTAATTGGCCGAGGGGCAATGGGAGAAGTATACTTGGCCACTTTTCAAGGAAAGTCTGTGGTCGTAAAAAGGAGTCAGGTAAAGAAGGAACAGCATGAAGGAAACTTTTTACCTTTTTATTCATTTATTTATTTATTTAATTTTTTTTTTTTTTTTTTTTTTTTACAGCGAGAAATAGATATTTTATTAAAGGAATATAGTAACTACTTCAAATTACAAAATCACAGCAATATACTAAAATTCTTCGGAGTGATAAGAGAAGATCGATATTCTTTTTCATTGGTATTGGAATACGCGCCCAATGGAAATTTATCGAGTTATCTTAAATCTCATACAATAGCGTGGAGTGATAAAGCAAGAATTTGCAGAGACATAGCACTCGGACTAATGCATTGTCACGAAAATAATGTGCTACATTTCGATCTTAAACCCGAAAATGTCTTGCTGGACCGGGATTGCGTTCCAAAGTTGGCCGATTTTGGCATTTCCAAGACCAAGAGTCAGATGGTGTTGGATCATGGAAAAGCTGGTGGTACCATTAATTATGTGGCACCGGAACGCGTGTGTAGAGAACTTAAAATGAGAGAATTCTTTGACAAGTAAGGCATCCCCCTTCGTATTTCTTGGTTCGAATAATATCCCATGAAATATGCAGCTGATTTATTTTATTTCCGTCTTATAATTAGCCATCCAAAACTTTCCGACATATATTCATTTGGGTTGATATTGTGGTCAGGTAAACAATCATTTATTTCACGAATTAATCCTTCTTATGTTACGCATCGTTTGAATTTAACTTTAAAAATGAATAATGTAGTTGCCAAGGAAGGAGTGCACCCTTACGAAGGAATGGATGATGATGAGATTAAAGAATATAAAAGATCGACTCGCGCAATGTATGATTTGTTGGAACAACTTCCTTCGGACACACCGCAAATTTACAACCAGCTTATATTTGATTTGACGCAATACGTTCCGAGCGAAAGACGTCAATTGACATTCGCACGCCTCGAATTGGAATCCTTATTCGACGACGATGACGACGATGATGATCGAATGATCACCGAGTACAAAGATAATTTACCCGTTGATGATTTGGATTCTTCTGATGATGATTTTGATGGTTCCGTATCAAGCAGCAAGCCAGTATCCACATCCACGACAATTGAAAGCGAAAAAAGCACACTCGCAAGTGACAAGGACATAACATTTTCTGAAACATCAACAGAACCAAGGCCATTAAGCATATCATCAAGCATTTATCGAAATCCCATTCGTAGTGGTAGCGCACCTGTTCCATCATCTTCATCATCCGATAATGATGATAATAACACTTATAATCTTATTCTTGGTAAGCCAATCGTTACTTCCCCAGCGTCCAACGAGGATGATAACCCAATGGGAATCGTGATTCCCCCAATGGATGCTATTCTTAATCGTGACATCAGGCGGGATAGTAATGGTAGTTACAATAGGCGAGATAGCGATTGTAGTAGGTATAGACGTGATTCCGGAGTTGATCGAAAATCACAGAGTACGTTGGTTGGCTCGCCGTTAACCCCTAAAACTCCTCCATTTGAAAAAGTGGTCTTAAAAATTTCAAATGTGGATCAAGAATTGATGGACGGTGTTATCAGCATATGTGATCATTGGGAAAATGTCACTGATGACGTTTTGAAAAGAAAATTAGACAATCTATGCTACGATAAAAAGAAGAAACCCAAAGATATATTAGCACTCTTCGAAAATTACCCATCAAAGTCCGCCGATTATTATTTTGCTGTCGGATTCATGAATGAACATGGATTTGGAAAGGTCAAAGACCCGACGTTGGCCTTTGAATATTATTCTAAAGCGGCGGATTTAGGTGATCCAAGAGGATTGGTCTTTGTAGGTTGGTGTTATTATAAAGGAATGGGAACTTCCAAGGATCCGATTAAAGCGTTTAATAGTTTCCAAAAAGCAGCAGACAATGGAAGTGTTTCAGCACACAACAATGTGGGATGGTGTTATGATATTGGATTTGGAACCGAAACGGACCCCTATAGAGCTTTTGAATGCTTTAAAATTGCTGGAGATAGAGGATACGCGACAGCGCAATGCCGCATTGGAGTATGTTATGAATATGGAAGAGGAACAATGAAAAGTTTAGAGAGAGCTCTTGAATGGTATACTAAAGCGGCTAATAACGGACACGAAACTGCAAAAAGAAGAGTGAGCGAATTATCCAAAATACTTCGTCGTGAACACAGCAGAAGGAGAAGCTTTTGGGTTAGTAATCTTATTACATATTAAGAAATTTTTTTTTTTTTTTGTTTTTGTTTAAAACAAATAAATTCAAGCCTAAAAGGAATAGTCGTCACTCGTTAATTTTTTTCATGATTAGGAACGAATATTGTATGGTCCCCTGAGATCTAGCACAACTTAATGAAGTGGATTATATAACATCATATCCTATCCAAGCATCTCTTTATTTCGCGCGCACGTTCCTCCGGTAGTGGTATTTGAAACAACAAACATATTTATCATATATATTTCGTATTATTTATTTTTCTCCCCGATCTGGCGATCGTAAAAAAAAAAAAAAAAAAAAAAAAAAATCTTTTTACTTGCTGTTGTGTATTTGTTGAGGTCTTAAAGCGCTTCACTTGTATTATGTATTTTGTCTTAGTGTATTATTATTATATTATTGGTTTTATATTATCTAGAGTTAGATCTAATTATTTATGTAAGTTATAACGATGTATATTTAGCTTATGTAGTATTATATAATTATATATAGAAGCGCGTATTAGACCATATACAGTTACAAACAAATGTTCAGTGATTTCAAAATCGTTTTGTATAATAGGAAAAACTTCCTATCCTTTCCTCATCATTCCTCATACTTTCCACTTATTTTCATTCGATTCTCTCTCCTCTTTTATGTATGTATGTATTATAACTATCCGACTTACTCATTTTACAACAAAAAAAAAAAAAAATTATTTTGATGGATAATATAAATTATTATTATTATTATTGGCTGATTTTTTTCTTGGAAATTTTTTAAACATTTTTGTATTAGCATTCTTTTTTTTTTGTATTCACATTTTATAATTTTATTTACTTTATTAAATTTCTCATATAATACATAAAAAAAAAAAATAAAAGCACAGGAAAAAAAAAAAAAAAAAAAAAAAAAAACTAATGTACTGTACATTATGTCTATATAAAAGAAATTTTTTTATGATTATTCTTTAACTATGTTTAAAGGTGGTTGGGCTAAAACAACTTGTAATAGGCGTTCGCATTAATTCTTCGGAGATTTCTGGTTCATCAGTCATATTATCAGTTAAAATTGAGAGACTTTTAGATGGTGGTTCTATATTCTTGGAACTGCTTGTACTACCGTAATTATCCAAGCTACTATCTATTGAATGAAATTTTTTTTTTTTAACATAAAATGTATATGAAACATATGAAATCCTAGTAGACGAACGATACTTACAATTAGAAGGAATGGAAAGTTCGTATTGTTTTATAATATCTTCATCCTCTGACTCTGGTTCTTCTTCGGGATAAACTGAACGTCTTTGCATAAGTAGTCCGGTTGAAAAGAAACTTTCATCTCGAATAAGTATGGCGGCCAAATCTTGATTGCTCATCTGCGTACGTCCGTAATCATGATCACTATGAGATTGAGATCGTCTGGGAATAGGTATTGGAGAATTTCTTGGAATGGGAAGGGCGGGAAATTTTAATAGTCTACTAGTATAAATAGCTTGAGGGTGAATTTTAGGAGGAGCGACCATTCTACCAGCAGGATTAGGGTTTAACCCTTTAGCCAAAACCCTTTTAATTCTTTTTGATTCGGCATTAGTAAAATGATCCTTATCTTTTCCATAAACGTGCCATTCACTTAATATCTTTACAATTTCGGAAATTGTTGGTCTATCTTGAGGATAATAACTCCAACATCTTACCATTAATTCCCCATAACATTCGGGAGTATCATGACGTAAATTTGGTCTGAATCCATTACAAATTGAAGCGATGAGCTTTGCATCATGAGGTTGATCATAAAATGGAGGTCGATTTGAAGAAAATTCCCACATAAGCATCCCGAATGTATAAACATCAACCTTTGGATTATACTCTTCCCCATCGATGATTTCAGGTGCGATGAATGGTAAGAGATCATATCTATAATGTCCAATAACTGGAATCAATTCCTTTCCTTCACCTAAACCTAATTCATTAACCGAAATTTCAATATGAGATTTTATCGTATGTTGAGTCGATTTCTCGCTTTTCACGATCTCTAAAGCACTCACGATCGTGTGTAAAATGGCTAATTTATTTTGCCATGTAAGACGCGTGTGATGATGTGAAACGTAGTGACGTACGTCCCACTCCACCGTCTCCGCCACCATCATCAGATTACTCGTAACTGACTCTCGCGTCACGCCAAAAAGACGCATAACAAGTCCATTAAACATACGCGAATGGTAATGCATTTTAAGCTACCCTCCCATTAAAAATTATATAAAAAAAAAAAAAAAAAATTTAAAAATTAGGAGGAATTCGATTAAAGAGGTTTGAAAAGCAAAACAGAACTTACCTCCTTCAAGAAAAGTGAAGGGGAACCACCGAGGGAAGTTAATGCGACCTTAAGCAAACCCCTTCTAGCAACGTATTCACCTTCTACCGGATCCCAAGTATCATTCGGACCTTTAATCCAATTTGCGGTAAATAAAGTTCCAACTTCGGAAATTTCTGATTTATTGACATTGATAAAAGCTGAAAATGGGATCCATTCAAGATATTGGTCACATTCTTTGGCATTCATTTGGGTTTGTTTAATAAAATCATCAATACTTTTGTCTCCTGTAGACCAATTATCAAAATTTTCCACAAAATGTCTTCGTTGACAAGATTCACACCACCATGTATGATCTCCTAAACGTTGGTCACATTCTGGACAATAATGCCTTGAGCTCATAATATCTTGTTAAGAAAAAAATTTTTTTTTATTTTTTTTTTCTTTCTTTAACCTTTGTTGAAACGGTTTAATTTATAATTGAAAGGGAAAAAAAAAGTTTAATCAGATCTTTTGTAATCCTGATTTTTTATTGTCGGAGTGATCTAATTTAGTTATAACATCATTTTGTTATCATGCGCAATTATTAAATATGGTAACATGTAACCAAATTTGAGTTTTAAAAATACAAAGTTTTACAATGCAACTCAAGTTTAAATAATGAAATTTGAAGAGGAATTTTCGTACGACAATTTATTATACATAAAAGAATTTTTGCAACAATCACAAACGGGGCACATGCAAGCTCTTGCAATAGGTTGTAAAGATCCAAAAAAAATCGATAATAAACATACCCAGATTTGGTGAACAAGTTCACGTGTCATGAGCAAAAGAAAGAACAAAAGGGAAGGTTATTCGCAAAAAGTCAGGTGACTTTACCGTGTATCGGATACCGATCTCCTTTTTTTTTATTATACAATCAGTATCCAAAATCACATGTGACCCGATAAACTTTCCGATATAACGAGTGTCTAAGATAAATTTATCCATGAAGAAAATTTAATGTCATTATTTTTTTTGTAAACCAAATCGTTTTAACAAACAATTAGACAATTAAATTTTTGAACTGAAACCGATTGAGGGAAGAGACGTGATCAATTGATGGTGAAAAATGGCTAATATAAAAATTTGTTTATTGTTAAAAATGGTTAATGGTATAAAATACTTTATGTTGATTCCTTTAGTTTAAGGATTATGTTCTGACGTGATGATATTTAATGACATAATCGGCAAGTGGGTTCAAGAACCTAAAAAAAAAAAAAAAAATTTTCTTAAAATCAATTAAATCGATTAATCATATGATTCATAATGTGATTTTGAAAAAAAACACAAGCTTTAAAAGGTGATGGTATTTAGAAACGTTGGCCCCCTCCTCCCAGTTTCAACTTTAAAGGGCAAACCAGGTCAACCGGTAGTCTCGTCATGCTCATGTGCAATCGCTAACGAGAGACACCACACACATCAGTGCATGACTATATAACCTTTATTACAGTCTGACTTTGAGATACCAATATATATTAAAAATTTTTGATGTATTTTCTCAGTATAATTTGGATATAACGATATTATTTCAAGATTCCCCGATTATTAATTGAAAAATCTAGATACGCGTGTCCAAAAGCAGTAATGTGGCATAGTAAATGATATAACGTAGGAGAATTTAAATGCACTTATTTCAGAAAAATATAAATGTGCATTTTTATGAAAGCTATACATGTAAACATATCATGTCAACATCCAACATCTTGAATGAATCTGCCAATTTATCTACTAAAAATGTCCAAGCGTTGATTGTTATGAACCTCAACAATAAATATTGAGACCCTAATTGCATCAAATAATTTTATTCTTAAACTTTCCCGCAGATACTCAGGTTTTTTACATATAAAAATTACCTCTTCTTTGCATATGGGTAGCATCAAAGTTTTTCATTATAACTTTAAGCAGATCTATTGATCAGATTTTTGTAATGCGATCATATTAACGTAATTTCCCCAAAATGTATTCTAAATTGTTCCTGCAAATTATATAAAAAGGTGATGTCTCAGTTAGTGAATCCTTTTATCCGTCTCGTGCAAGTAAAATAATAATCGAATGAAACTAATTAGATTAATCAAACTTACCATTATATTACAACACCAATATCAACAATCACAAAGTGATAATAAAGTATGTTAATTTGTTGATTAACTTGCTTTTTAGAACATGTCATCACGATGTTAATCACTTTTCCTGCTTCTATAGATATCCATGAAAATTTCAGATATATTACCTTACTTGCTATATTTCAATATTTTGATCTCTGATCATCATCACGTGTATAATAAGCATAGTATCACAAAAATAATTTCTTGTGATGGGATATTATCTAATCTAATCAACTCCACAATGTTTAGCGTAGAATCGTAACTATAATAAAAAACCAAAACACCTTTGTTACTTGACTAAAGTCAAAAGCAACAAATTTCTTGAATATGAGGCGGAGAAAATGAATCATAGTGGGGTGAATTGGAAATATTGATTATTTTTTTTACTTCAGTTGCTAATCTTCAGAATTTATGCATATATTTGAAAAATTTTTCATCTTTATAAATGGGATGGGCGGGATTATTTATTTCAAAAATCTAGCGTAATATAAGAGTATGAGACTGAGAATCTCGTAGTTAGTGATAGGAAAAAAACAATTAGCTATAGAAATTTTTCGAGAACAAAGAAATAACTTGATTAGACGCATTAAATGGCCTAAGATCTGCGCTTTTTGATAGCATCTTATATTTTATTCGCTTCTCTAACATTTTCTGATTCACTATATATCTAAAAATTATTAATAAAGATTTTCCTACTTAGGGCATTTAAATAAATCCATTTTTTTTCTTTGTAATGATCAGAACCATGTAAACTCCAAATTTGATGTATTTAGAGGTTCAAATCGTTCGATCCGTAGTCAAATTATCTGGATATAACTAACTGATTACAATGATCGATTAGACGAAAATTTTGACCGGTTATTCAGTCATTTAATCGATTATCACTAACTATGAATGGATAACCGGATAATCAGATATTCAAATATTTTGAATCCATTGTTTAATAAGCATGCAACATATAAATTAATTAAAGACATTCAACTTCAAATTTTTTTTTTCATATTTTTTCGTTCAAATTTTGTTTTACAAAACAAAATGAGTTTGATGCAATTTACAATGATGATGTTTCTTAGAACAAGAAATAATTCTGAAAGATTCATTTGACAATAGAGATTTAAACCGGTTAAAGTGGTTAACATGTTAACCGGTTAATGATTTTTTTTACCGGTTAAAATAGATGAATTTAGCTCCGGCTGAAATTCAATTTTCGGCCAGAATTAAGATTTTCATGATTGCAAAATATTATCTAACTCCAGCCAAATTCATAGGACTGGTTAACGAATATTTTTAACTGGCTATTAACCGGTTAAAGAATTTTGGCCAGTTTCAACCTCTATTTGACGAAAATTATAATCTGATTATAGTGGTTAGGAAAAAATAATAGTTGAAATAATTGGTAAAATATAATTTGTTATTATTGTTGATAATAAAGATAAGTTCAAAATATATATTTTATTGTTTTAATTAATGTATTGATGATTTAGTTCTTTCAACTAATCGGTTATTCAGATGATCTGGATAATTTGAATAATCGTCATTAATCAACGATTAATTTGAATATAATCGATTATAAATTTTATGAACGATTGATTAAATTTTTGACCAATGTATTATAACTTGAATTGGTGGCTGATTACGTCGATTGGGTGACAAATAAGGGTGTGACAAACATGCTAATTAAAACTGTTCCCGAAACCATAAACGTGGTATCACATGAACATGCAAAAGATAAACATCACACCTTCCTAATATAGTAATTATCTGCATAACTGCTATAACGCGACTTTAGTCACATAACGTAACGCGCATAGTAATCTCATAATTATAAGCAAGAATAATTTGCATAAAGAAAAAATTAAAAAAACTTATTTCTTATTTCTTCAATTCCTAATTACAATAAAAAAATTATTTTTTTTAAAAAAAAAAAATCATTCAATAACTGCGCTCAAGTCTTGAAACGAAGTTTACAAAATAAACTTGAATTGGGAAATTTTCTCATTCGCAAATATTTTGAAATGCCGTATATATGAGAAGTAAAACGTTCAAAGCTAAAATATCCAGGTAAGTCTGTTACTTTCCTATTTTTAACTGAATAGTGAGAAATAACAGAATAATTAGAAAACAAACTTTTGCTGTTTAGATTATTGGGACTGAGAACCTGACACCTGGGAAAGCATAAAAGATTAGGACTTTTACTTGCTTAAGAAACTAGATTCTTCACAGGTTAATAAACGTCTTTCTCATTCAGCCTTAGGTAATGAGCTAAGATGTATGATGAAAATAATCCTATTTATAAGACAGCTTGTCATTGGCAGAATGAATTGAAGGAAAGTATATTTTTTTTGACTTCACATTTTGTTGTGCCAGCGTACTTAATAGCTAATCTAGCAACCGAGCGTTGAGAAGGTTTTTCCGAGTGCAAAAACTGACAGCTATTACTGAGTGTAGAGGTATAGAAACATTGTCAAGCGAGCATCGTAATATTTTGTGAATTCCATTATTATCTCAAAGTATGTTGTCTAACTATTTATATTTATATAGAAAAGTGATAGTAAAATTTGGGAGAAGAAGGAACTAATTTCATCATTACTTTTAGAGGTTAATGTGGTCGAATTGGAATTAGAAATCGTCAAGGTGAGTGATTTATTCAAGTTTGTCTCTTATACTTCTTAACAACTCCTTGTTCAGTCCTTGGTGATTTCGTTATTACAGAAAAGGGGAAGATATAATGTTTATCAAATAGCAAGACGAGGATATAAAACATATTCAGACATAGAATTTGGTCCAGAAGAACAAGAACAGAAGAGAATTAGAGATGATTGTGTAGATACTACTCCCTATATCAATATTCATATTCCTCCATCACGTGTGATTACTCTTCCAGAAGAATCTATAAATCTCAGCTAGAATTAATATGTCAGAATTCGAGAAGTACTACTTCTGCAATTCCAGCATCAGAGGCCAAGCAAAACCATACTTCTGATAATAATAAAGACCTTGATGAAATGCTTAAATTCAATTTAAAAAGGATTGAGAAGCAGTTGCAGATTTCACTCACAATTGAGGTATGACACTTCAAAATTCTGATTCGTTATTTGCATTTCTCTCAAATTTTTTTCTGTTTTTTTTAGTGGAACGTTGGCAACATAAATGTAACAAAAAAATTTTGTCAGTATCAGTTTGACGTGATTAAGAAGGCGAAAAATGAAAGTTTGACATATAAGGATGTTACTGAAATCTTGTAAGTATTTTGAAATATATAACATTTAATATTCATATTATGAATATATGTAGTATGTATATTGATCATCTTTTTTTCTAGAGCTTTGTCATCAGTAATATTACTTTATCCATCATGCCTGTATCCTATATTCACGAATTGAGAATGGAAAGAGATAACTAGAACCAATCCTTATACCATAAAAGAACTACCACTTCCACCAGAGATTTCGTCATCTCTTCGTAATACAGCTAGTAGATATTTATATGGTGAAGATGCATTTATGGATTGTGAAGAATCAGAGTTGGGTAAGAAGATCGCGCTAATGTTTAATAACTTGTAAGTTTATCTCATTCTATAATGTATTTATCATCCATTAATTTGATATTCACATAAATCCTTTTAATATATTACAGATATGCTTGTATTCCAGAGATTGCTCCCTCAAAATTATCTGAGGAAGAATACATTTATATGTTTGTTTATCCAATAACTCGCTCATTGTTTCGTGGTCCTGAAAAAGAATACGAACTTAGACTAAATCGTGCCAGTGTAGGCTCAAAAAAAGACCAGATCTTTTTTGTGTAGTTGATAATATAACAATTTGAACTCAGAATTCAAACCTTTAGGGTATTATCTAAGGTAATGGTATGAAGAAAAATTGAAAGCACAATTATAGGGCAGAAAATCAATTAACTAGCAACTGCAAAAGAAGGATGGTCCAGGTGAATCTGCTATTTTCACTAATTTAGGTACGTTATAATTGCAATAAATTCATGAATTTATGAAGTGTATTAACTTATGCTTTTGCAATAATAAGATGATTTGATAAATCGTATTTCATAGATCTGAAGTATGACGAAATCTATCGCTCTTGGCATTTTTTCACAACTTGACTAGTTGTAGACAAAACAACAATCCCACAATGTGATTTTGCAATAAGCCATATGATTGCTTTAGAAGTACTTATAATGAGATATTTCTTAAGCTTATGATGAGACATTTTACTCATAACTTTATTTCTTTGCAATAATAGGAACAAGTCAGCAAAATTTTGGAAAACTACAAATATCGAGAGCACTAAAATAGTCAAACTATGCTATCTATACAAAAATCATTTATGCGTAATCTTCTGGATTCTTCACAAATAAAATCTTTATTAGGGTTTTAATCATAATGGTGCAAGAAGAATATTGAACAATAAATGGAGTATCAACATATTATATTGATATAATAAAGATCAATTAATTGTATTGTGAATATTTATCATATGTTTTATTTTCAGTTTTACATGTAATGGTCTGTTGACCTTAACCATAATTTTGAAAATTTATTGCCAAGGCGATTATCATACGAGCTTTGCAATGTATTTTTTTTTTCGCAATAAAATTATGATTTCAAATGACGATTATATATGTAGAATGTTTTATACCTGACACACTCATGAATGAATGATATCATGCTTCAAACAAAAGAGCGACCACAATCTCTATATATTTAATTTGCAATTGAGTAAAGTTAGTTATTATTCATTTTACATTATTACTAATCAAAACCTGTTCTCTTGAGATTCCATTTCGATCCTCACAGGTCCAAAATATAAGATGAAGTGGAGAATCATTTCCCAGTGTGAGCCTTTTTCTCTTATATATTCGAAAAAACATGTCTATATGCTGTTAGCATAAATGCAGTAAGAGGTTTTTGAGAAGAGTTTACATGTCCGTGATAAGCCTTATTGACAAAAATTGGTGGGTATTACTTCAGAGCTGCATATGATACCCATATCGAGCTCATGTTTTTATTACTGTATTGTATTTCTTCATTATATTCAATATAAAATTTGCTATAAAAAGAATCATTTATATATGCTGTGTTAATATACTTTAATTTATTAAACATTATACAGCATTTATCTAATACAATTCGGTAAAACAAGATTTTTTTTATATGTTAAAATCTATATTATACTAAAGATTCGTTGTATTATGAAATTCATTATATCAAAATTTATTATAGAAAGAGTTGACTGTACTATAAAACCTGCATAATTATATTTTGCGCCATATAATAATATATCTGAAAAACTCGACAGATTTATTTTATATATGTTATAATGCATATCAGATTTATTTCATTTATGTCACAAAAATCAGATTGTTAGACTAGCTAAACTAATATATTGCTAAAGTACTAGTACAAATATCAATAAAACTTTCATGATATTCTTCAATACTTCTTATAAAAGTTATATTACATTGACAAATCATTGAAAAACTTTCATTTTTTCATTGTTTTGTTTATCAAAAAAGTCATACATTGATCAATTTAATCATCTAATCTATATATTTCAACGGCTTCAATAATACATCAAGTGCAGGATATTTAAAAATCAATGTATGATAGAAATGATCTTTTATTATCTTTTTAATATATTTTTGTAATTGTTATAATTTCTATAAATTTATTATTCTTTAATGAAATAATTACTAATTCATAAAGTTTTTAATATCATATTATATCCAATTAGTTTTAAATTTAGAAATAATACTTGCAGGTATTTGTTTGTTTTCTTTTACAATAAATAAATTATAATTTATATAATAAGTTTTTAATAATGTTAATTTTTTTTTTATATACTGTATGTTCTAATTTGTTAAATTATTATAATAATATTTAAATGTAGTATATTCTTTATATTAATTATTTTAAATATACCTATATACCTTTATATTTCTATTAAAAAATTATTATTACGTAGTATTTTATAATTAATCATTAATATTTCATATTATATAAATATTGCAAATAATCTAAAATAGTAACTGTGATATATTAAAATAAAAAATTAAAAATAAAATCATTTATTTTTTTAATTTCTTTAAATTTATTTATTTTAAATTATCTTTATTTAATAAATCTAAACATATTTTTGTATTTAAAATTTTCTTTTATTTTATTTTAAAATGTAAAAAAAATGTTATGACTCTTTTAAAAAAATTAGTTTGTTCATATTAAGGTTACTTATCTAAATTTATTTTAGATTTATCAAAATGTTTAAACTTTAATTTGTTAATTTTTATTAAAGTTTTGATATAATTTCACATTTTTATAAGCTTTGATATAATTTTATCTTTTAATGAGTTTCACAGATTTTTTAATAAAATTTTAATAAAATTTTGCTAAATTTTACCTTTTACTATTTAAATAACTTGCAAAATCTTTAAATTTATCAAGCAATCTTAGTTTATATATTATATTATTTTTATATATACTTGATTTGAAATATTAATATTACTAATAACTATTGTTTTCTCAATGTAAAGTAATATAACTTCTAGTATTATAATAATAAAACATGTTGATTAATAACTTTATATCTTTTAAAAGTTTAATAACATTAGTATTTTTTGGTTACTTTAAATTTTGATTTAAAAATTTGATTTGTAACTTGTTTAACAAGTATAAAGTTATTTTTTTATATTTTTTTTCTATAGAAAGACTATTTAATATTACAGAAAATTTAATTTAATTTGTATATATGTTTACATTTATTATTATTAGCTCTTCTTCTATTACTTAAATAAAAAATATTAAAAAATTTATAATATATTATTATATATAAAATATATATTATATACATTTTATTCTTATAATTTCTGCTAAAAGAAATAGAGAAAGTTTTTTTTAATCTTATACATGCAATTTTATATCAAACTTAAATTTTCTTTTAAAAATAAAGGTAAAAACTATAGCTATACTTTTTATTAAATAATTAATATTTGGTATATCTTCCATCTGTATTAATACATGCTTGAATTTGATTTAACATATTATTGATACAGTTAATTAAAACAGAATTATCAAGATTATCCTATTTTTTACAAATTACATTAATAAAAATATGTTACCATTTTTTGATTTTTTTTGATTTTTTTCTTTAAATTAGCTTAAACATTTTCAATCAGGTTAAAATTCAGGCTATAATAGGTTACAAAAAAATTTGATTTAAAAGATGAGTCTTTAAATCTATTTTAATATCATCAAAAGTATGTTTTGGGTTATTATTTTGCTGAAAAATCTAGCGATAACCTAATAATCTATTTGCATTATTATAAAGATAATTATCAAGAATTTTGCGATATGAGTGACGAAAGATTTTCTTTAAAAATATGCATGCTAATCTTTCTTTTGACATTGATCGCAACCCAAAAATGTATCTTAAAAGGATGTTTAACCATAGATTGAATAGAATTTTTATCTTTAGATCATATGAAAGTAGTATTATAAAATATTTAAATTATAGTTTATCAGAAAAATCATTTTTTTCTAATTATAATGCAAGTGATCACATATCAAAAACAAGCGATTGTCTTTCACTTTTTGGGTTAATAGAAAAACTTTTTAAAAAAAAACTAATATATAACTAAGATCATAAAGTTCTCACTAAATAATTATTTCACTGACCTCTAAATTTATACCCTTTTCTTTAAATATAACCTTCAATTTTCCTACTTTAATAAAATGATTATACTTGATCTTTTTGATTTATTGACATTTTTAGAATCAATTTTGTGATCAGTCAGGTTGATAAATATCAAAAATATTACTATTCTTTTATAATAAGATAATATATCTTTTATAAGAACATCAGAAAACTATAGTTCAAGTAAAAATTTCCCTTGCATTA